TGTATTCTCTGATTAAAGAGATACCGGGATGGTTTGACTTACTGGAAGATAAATATCTGCGCCCTAACTGTTCCCCTACATGTCAGCCTACTGCTAAGTGATTGAAGAAGAGTTTTGTAAAGTCCGGTTGGTATTTGCATTACTGAGTATAGGGCGGTACTGGCCATGAACTTGACAAGGCCAAAAATCTGTAGAAGATATAAAAACATACAACAGAAGGGATTCGCTGGTGGTCACCCACCCAACTACTAACCTCCCGGCGTGTGGCTTAAGTACGGCTGAGCGGACGGGAAGCCCTGTTTTCCACACCCTGTGGTCGTATGTGCTTATTTTATCATTGAAGGCCCCTATATCCTCTATTATAGAGTATGATGCAAGATTAATACTAAAATAGAAGACCAAATATCAATCAATATGCAGATCTAGGTTTAAGAATCGACTTGCGCGCCAGCATGTAAATCGCACCCCGGGCTTGATTTACATCCGCATCTATCCCGATTCCAACTGCTATCTATACTGTTCTCATTGTAAACGAGATCCTCGTTGCTCCCGCCAGGATTTTTCATATCGATCTTCGAAGCTTCTGCAAATATGAGTTTCCGGGTATGTTTTCATATAGCACTTAGTACCGCACTGCTAGATAATACACATCGATGAACTATCAAGACTATCTATGTCTCCCGAATGAGCACAGCCCTATAGCGCACCTTTCCATCTCTCAATCGGCTCATCGCCTCTTCTATGCCAGAGCTAGTGAACGGAAAGGTCATTATAGTTGGATAAATCTGCTTCTTCGCCGCAAACTCCAAAAGTGCCTGTGTACTCTGACGGGAAGCGACCAAGGAGCCCTGGATCTTACAGCCCTTGAAGCATAGCTCCAATGTAGGAATCGGGGAGGGCTCAAATGTTGCAGTCAGGGGATAAATAGCACTAGGGCTATCCATGAGAGGTAGGATTCTGTCCACAACGTATCTAATCAGTCATACGCCCTACGCATGTAGCACCAGAATCAACCGCAGAACAACTTACGAAGAGTACTTCACATCAGCACTCCCACAAAGCAGGAGATGCTTCAATGGCTTAAATGACTGGAGAGTGCTTTCCGTCCGAAAGACATGGTACTCCGACGCGCCGTACTCCATAGCCTCTTGCCTCTTGGCCTCGGAGCTCGAGAGCACGACGACATGGTACCCCATAGCAGCAGCCAGCTTAATAGCTAGGTGACCGAGACCACCCACGCCCTGTATTCCGACCCGATCACCAGGGCGCATGTCGAACCGTGTCAGAACTGTCCACACCGTAGCCCCTGCGCACATCAGGGGTGCGGCATGGGCCGTTTCTATCTCGTCCGGGATGCGAAATACGCAGTTTGCGTCCCAGATGGCGCCGTAGCTGAAGCTGCCGTTGTTGAAATCGTTTGTGCCGTATTGTTTCTTTTCTCGGCAGAATTGGTCCATATCTTTGACACCCGGGCAAGGTTCGTTAGTTGACTTCCAGTTTATAAAAGTCATGAAAGCGATATCTGTATAGATATCTTACCTTTCGCGCAGTTATCGCATCGCGCACAGATCCCATGAGTGAAACCAAATCCCACGCGGTCACCGATTTTGACCGTCCGCACGCCGGGCCCGATGGCCTTGATGATACCCACACCTTCGTGGCCCAGGACTTGGTTTGTCTTCAGGTAGTGTTCATCTGTTCCGCAGATGCCGGATGCGAGGGTCTCGATGAAGACTTCGTTGTATTCGAGGTTGCTAGAGACTTTGTCGCTGACGATCTTGCCCTCGGGAGAGCCGCGGAAGACATCGTAGGTTAAAGCCATTTTATTTCTGAGAGACACGTTTGAAATGATGATTTGATAGATAACAGAAAGAGACGGATGGGTAGGGACTTGTATAGGTATCTTATATACCACTTTCTCTGCCTATCCACTTGTTGCGGAGGTATTCTCCGTCGCGGGTTTTATTGTCCGTCCCCGCCTGCCCTACATTGCGGGTTTTTGATCCGTCTCACCACCATCAACTGTCTGACAAGCAACTAGGTAGCTTACGAGACCGGAGAGGCACCAATTGAAGGATTTATCGGCCATATGAGCAAAAGTACGTTTTGGAGACATTGGATGACTACTAAAGTGATTATAGTTAACGTAAACCACAATCGCGCAGCCCATACAATCGCGCGGCCCACCTAATCATGCTATATAAAAACTATTTTTTAAATTGATATTTCTCAACCACCAATAAAGTATTAGACTTTTTACTAAATATATAGATTATTATTTCAATGAATTTAATTTTAATATTTTTTTAAGATTTTTATTGCTATATATATTGGCTGGTAATATAAAATACATGTAATTTACCTGTAATTTTAAATTATCAAGATATTAAATATATATTAATTAGTTAAATTTTTTTGAATGGTCCTGGTATATTTACTATTATAATTATAATCTATATACAAAGTTATAGCCCTCTAAATAAAGAAATAATTGAGATATAGTAGTTCTAAGAAAGATATATTTTGTATAGAATTACAAGATGGGCCGCGTGATTGTATGGGCCGCGCGATTGTGGTTTACATTAGTTTGCCATCGATGTTGTGTTTGGACCAGATAGCTGACTAATCAATCTTATGATTTCTAAGGAAAGAATGTCTTGGACAATCATCACCAACAATAGCATTTGTACGCTGATCTTCGATCATTATTCCGTCTCTATTTACATGATATGACTGCTATTACTGGTTAGGATAATGCAGACTGAAAGAGTACTTCCAGCCCGACATGCCCGACGTCGGACGGTCCCCCGAGGCCGGATAATGACCGCGTGTGCTCGGTGTCAGAAACGGAAAATTCGTGTGAGTACACTGATGGCACACGCTAGCTTCTTCTATCATTAAATCTAATCCAATAGCCTCTTCTAGTGCGACGGAGTTACTCCCGTCTGTGGGGGTTGCCAACGAGCCCATGTAGAGTGCGTTGGAGGAGTTTCAGTCCGTGACATTTCCCGAAAGTAAGCCAGCTAATCATTGATCTGAACAGCCTGCTTATACCCACATACTAATATAGTACTTCAGTTACGTCGATGAGCTAGAAGCGCGAATAGAATGGCTAGAGTCCATCACCCGGGAGCACCTACCATACATTGACCTCCACAAACCTGATGAACCCGAGGGAAGTGTTCCCTTGGATCGTCGTCGTGCCTCGGTCTGCAGAGGATCGAACCCTTCCACTGCTCCTGAAGCACATACTTCCCAAATCGGGAATGACAAGGATGACTGGGGCCCAGCGCGTGACATCACGGATCAACTTGGACTGGTCTCGATCAACGCAGAGGCGGATCTTCGATACTTGGGCCCTTCCAGCGGGCTGTTCTTTACCAGGTTCGTGCTAACCGGCCTTGGACGACGAGCCGGGTTGGCACAAGAATCAGTTCCCCCAACCGGAGGAACCAACTTCATCCCTGCTGAGCTTCTCGATATTCAGCCCAAAGGTCTTCCATCTGATCTCAAACAGGCCCAGTGGTTGACACAGGCGTATTTCCAAGCAGTCCATGGGCAATTTCCGTTCCTGCATCGACCATCTCACCTGGACCTTCTGCAGAAGGCTTACAATGGCATCGATCTCCTCCTGCCCATCGATCAATTCCAGATCTACATGGTCCTGGCCATTGGGGCCACTATCCGATCGCAACAATTGAAGATACTTCTTTCTGCAGAAGGATACTGTGCCTCGGCGATAGTCCACTTGGACACCATTTTCCAGAAATCGTCGGTGGGCGGCGTAAAGTGCATGCTGCTTTTGCAAATGTACACATTTCATAATCCTTCCTCGGCGATCAGTCTGTGGACACTGCATTACCATTGTCTGGCTCATGTGTTGGAACTTGGTTTGCATCGTAATGTTCGAGGCTCTGCTTTTACCGAGTTCGATCAGGAGATGCGCACCAGGGTCTTCTGGTGCGTGTATACAATGGATCGTTATCTGTGCACTTCACTCGGTAGGGCTATAGGTATTATGGATGAGCAATGTGATCTGAGGGTATCTCGCGTCTTCCCCCTACGGCCCATATATACGATAGAAGACGACGCTAATAGTTAACATAGTTACCACACGACATCAACGACGAGGACCTACGACCAGACCAACCGATCCCAAATCAACCCTCTACACCAGGGATAACCGACATGTCCAGCGCGATCCACCTCTTCAAATTCGCTCGCTTCAACGCCGAAATAAAATGCGTTCTATATTGCATCGACCGGAATTACCCCCCTTACACGCAACCGACCATCACAGACCCCAACCAGTGGCGGCTTGATATACTTCACCGTCTACATCAGTGGAAAGCAACCATCCCTCAGCATCACCCACAAAGCCCATCATACTATCTAAACAATCTGCTCGCGATCAGATACTATGAGTTAGTGATGTTGGTCGTACGCCCAAGTCCTCTCTTCCCATACCCGTCCAAGACCTTGATTAAGTTGTGCTTTGATTCCGCCCTGCAATGCACAAGGCTTTACCGCCAGTTATACATTACCGGTATGTTGCACTATAACCGGACGATTGTGCAATCGCTGTTCCTGTGCACGATCACTATATTTTATTGTATATGGGCACCGAATGGATTAGAAGAGGAAGAAACAACCCTCGACACCGTCTTACATGCACTAAAGTCCGCCTCGGATATCCTCAGCGCCACCGGGGAATATTGGCTTGAAGTGAAACGGACTCGCGATGTACTGGATTGTATCACGAAGGCTACGGTGCGGCGGTTTGCTCGGAGGCTTGGTCAGTTATCGGCATCACTTCCATCTGGAAGTAGCGGGACCTTGCACAATAATATGTCGAGAGTGGACTTGCCTACAACTACCTTCAATGAAGGGTCGTGTACCGATGGCATCACTGGTAATGGTAATGCCGGGCCGGTCTCGGTAGATCCCTACTATGTGCCCGCGCAGCAGCCGGATGCTACACCTGAGCTTTTGTCTTTTTTCATGGATCCTCAGCCGGAGTCGGCGATGGAGTTGTTGGATTTCTCATGGGATGTGTTTGGTGGGGTGGATGATGTGGTACAGGAGATGATGGCTGGTGCGTCAGCAGAGTGATGAGATTCGGAATTGTGGAATATTGACATTTCGTGCATTGTCATAGTATATACCGCTCAGTGTTGTGCATCTAAGTTGCTTTGTGAGTCTCTATGCCAAATACATTTTAAGATTTTTGTTGCCTCAGGTGTTCAATCCAGCTGTAGTGGATGCCTCAGGCCTGTATACGATGGAGTGAATTTGGCCTAGTCTCTGCCTAGCCGCTGTCAGGCCAGGTTTCTTGCATGGGTTGCAAAGTGAGGTCTCCTTCTTATGATATGATTGTTGTTGTGTTGTAGAAAAAAAAGAATTTCGTTAGACGGTATATTATGATGCCATGTCAAGTCACTGTATAGACGACCCTCGCCATTATCGTAGGCTGTGCGATGCTATTACCCCATCACTTCGTCTCTATTATCACGCATTATCATGATTAATTAAGTAATATATCTTCATCCCTCTTTGGGCATTGCACTGCTAGTCCCTTGATTATCCTCGACCTCGCTGGTATGTGTCTTATCTGCGGTTTCAGTTGTCGTAAGTTTGTCATCCTTCGTAGGGTCGCTGCCGCCAAAGACGCCTTGCATTTCTTCGAGAGAGTAGTTGGAGGTCTATTCCATGTTAGCAAATTCATCAGTAATGCAGAGTGGGGCATAAGACGAACCTCCTTCAAGAAAATGAATGAATACACGACGATCGCGTAGTTGAAGATCGCAAACATAAGAAACATTCTCCATCCAATATTTTCAATCGCATGCGGGGTCACTTGCGACATCATGAAGTTGAAAAGCCATTGTGAGGCTGCGCCGACGGTCACACCGATCTCACGAGTGCGACTCGAAAATATCTCTCCCACATATAGCCAGGGAAGGGGGCCCCAGGACATGTTGAAACTGAATGCTTCACAATATGTCATGATGATCATGGCGATTCCAGCTGGCGAAGCGTTTCCGGTGTCGCTGGAGCTAGTTGGATGTGTGGCCAAGATGCAGGCAATGATGAGCATAAACGACCCCATCGCGGCGGCACCAACCATGAACGGCCATCGCCGACCGATGCGATCCATAACGAAAATCTGGAAGACCGAGACACCAACTACTTTTACCACACCGAAGAAGCCAGTCACCAGCTTGCTTGAATTTCCTGCACCCACGGCGGAGAAGATCTGAGTGGCATAGTAAGCCAGGGACGTGTTTCCCGTAAGTTGCGCCGCTAGCTGGATCGTAAAGGCGATGAACAACCGATAGCGATTTGCGGGAAGCAGCAGTTCCCGGAAGGTGAAACCTTGCTTAATCCGAGCTTCCTCCTCAATACCAGCCAGAATTTCATCAAATTCTTGCTGGAGCTCCTCGGTTTCTTCCCCACCTCGTACCCATTTGAGAGACTCTCTAGCCTTATCAATTTTGCCCTTAGAGGCGAGCCATCGAGCGCTCTCTTTAACCGTGCACATACCGAATAGGAGAAGGGACGAGGGGAGAAGCTGCAGGCCCAGTGCGATCTGCCATTGCTTTGTTGCGGATGGCTGGTCTATCGACACAGCGTACGTGACCCAATAGGCGACCATGACTCCCAAAGCGAAGAACAGCTGGAAGCAAGACCCGAGTCGGCCACGTAGATCCTTAGGAGACATTTCAGCTGCATACACTGGAATCAGCACCGTTGCGGCACCAATGCCGAGACCAGCTATCACTCGACCAGCATAGAACGTGCCCAGAGTATGCGAGTTGACGACCTGCAAGATGGTACCGACGGTGAAGACAAGGGAACTGATAATGAGGCCGAGCCGGCGGCCTAGGTAGGATGCGATGGGTGTGGTGAAAAAGCAGCCGAAAAAGGCGCCTGCTTGGAGGATCGAAACGGCATTGGAGTTGACCGAGGTTTTCTGAGCGACCGTGTATCCGAAGTCATTCTGGAAAGAGGGCAGCGTAAGAACACCGCCTGGCCATTGTCTGGTTAGCTCGACGTTGTATATAACGAATAACCAGGGAGCGTAGCGTACTAATAACACCAGTGTCGAATGCAAAGGCGAAAGAGCCCATGCAACTAGCAGACACCAGATAGATAGCCCGGAAGAGGCCCAATTTCCGACCCATTGTGAGAAAGACTGGTCCTCAAAGCAACCGATTTCGGTGCGGTTTAGGAGCAGTAAGAGCCGATTTGGGGAAGTAAGGGGGACAGAGAGCCAAATGACCTGTCAGTGCCAGCACTGATATTTAAGATGATCAGGCCAAAATCTCGGTGGCTCAGCTGGCAGACCCCTGTTGTTGCGTGATTCGCGCTTGCGCGTGCTACACGGCAACTATAAGCTTCCGCGGGATATAACAAGTAATGGACTATCCCGTCAGCTGTGGCGCCTGCAGCTAGGCCCCTTGCTTTTGTGCAATCAGATGGCAGGTATGCGACGTCCGTGCGAAGATCCTTTATATTGACATATCGATGAAAATGGTCATCAGGCAATAAACCCCCGCCCGGGGGCGCTCGACTGGAGCACTAGCGGAGGGGAGGGCGGCCAAGTCCGGACGTCAGGCTCTGATGTCTGCGACTCTGCGAAGATGGTTGGTTCCGGATGGGCAACAGCTGGTGCGGATGACGTGCTAGCCATCTGTGACGACACGGCTCGCGCTCTCCAAATCGGAAAATAGAGACTGAGTTTGAACATCGGTGAAAGCTAGGTTCCAGAGCAAGATCTATAATTGCTTTTTGTATTGCTGATTCTTTGGCCCTTCTCTGCGCCAGAGTCTCCGACATCTAGATGAGACAGCTGGGGTACATTGAGATCTCGATATGTCGCACATGGTGAAGGGCTAGGGATCGGTACCCCGCAAAATGTCGTGATGATCGACAGCGGACGGGGTGTGAGAAGATGCGACCATTGGTGGACTGAGCGACGAGGGATCAAGCCAGTCAGCATGCACTCCATCCAACTATGGGGACTTAAGGTTACTTCGACTTACTGGCAGGCCGCAATCGTTTCCTACAACTCATAGCGGGGCCACTGGTGGTCCCTCGTCGGTTGCATCCTGTCCAGCATCATCGACCATGGTAGTATCCAAGGTCTGGTAGGACTGGAGGATGTCTGTATACAGATGGAGTCATGATCGATAAGGCAGCGCCCAGCTCAGATCGACGCTGGAGGAGAGACGGAGCAAATGCCTCCTTTCCCAAAAGGTTCTGGACGTGCTCAGTCATCGCCAGAAATGGTATAGTGCAGGATTCTCGATCACATGTTATCAAATCGCTGAAGTAATCACTTGATTATGTCAGTGGCTTTACGCATCACGTGATGGTATAAGACGATGTATTCCTAAGGCATCAGAGCAAGCACAATCTTTCATATGCAGGCTGTGTCATCTTATGCCAATAACTAACTTATGCATTAGTTAGTGAGTTACTAACATATCAGCTAGTATCTTAGTAAGCGGAACTGTGACTCCCAGATTTACACTAAAGAGGAATCGCCAAGTTCTCCTTCTACTAGCATTCCAGTATAGGAATCTCTCGCTACCTCGGTTGAAGAACCCGCATGCTTTTGATTACATAGTCTCCCATGATCTCATCATTCTTTTGCTTATTGACATATCATTTCTTTATTTTAGATCCATTAACATATGCCTGAAATTGTAGGACGACCGGCTATTCTATCACACTAACACAGCACAACAGTCCGATCTTAGCAACCAAGGAGAAGACATCATCACAAGCAAATACAACCATCACAGTCTTGTGCGGTGTTTCTTCCTAACCGGGCAATCATCCCAGAGCCCTGACGTCGTTCAAAGCGCAGGTGATAGCCATGGCAGTCGCAAATGAATCAGTCGCTGGACCGGGTTAGTGATCGACATGATTGTCGAGCGGCCGCGGACTCCCTCCCCATAATGGATGGGTAGGATCTACACGTGGCAAGTTAGTGTGGACGTTTGAAACGAACCGTTGCAACGACCAAGATCATTGTCCATATTTTGAGTTATGATAAGAGTTCCAAGACATTCTGATGCATAGATAAGCATGAGAGGCTGGAAGTAGGTTGGTCAACTGTGATGTGTGCCTGGGATCGATCCAGCCGCCACACAGGGAGCTGGCACCAAAGCTACCACCATCGCCCTTTCCTTCCCCAACCAAAGTCACAATTTGTGGACATTCAGCTAGTAAGGCACTACGGTACTTTTATCCAGGGGTCTGCAACTCTCCCAGCGAATTCCAATCACTGGCATAACCGCCAAATGCCAGATAAGGGACTTCGATCAGCCAGTCATATCCGAAGTGCTGCCGCCAGGGCCTCATGGTTGACCGTTCCCGATCTGGCCCAAAAATTGGTCGATCTTGCCTTGATTCACAGAAATGGGTGGAGTTTCTGGAGTCGGCATCGACACCAAGTCAGCTGAGGCCGGATCCACTCCCGTTCGCTATGAACCGCGGTTCATGACTGAGACAGGTCTGGACGTTTCTGGGTGTGCGACTCGCTTTCCCGACGTTCGGATGCTTGCCTAATGTAGCGAGGACTGAGTCGTTTAGCGATGAAGGACGAGTATGGTCCAGCCGGCCAAGCGCACTATTGAGGAGTGGGATATCTATAGCCTGCTTCCTCGCTCACCGTAAGCCCGGATCGATGTCTCACTCCGGTACGCCGACCGACAAGAAAATAGGCACGGTTCCCGGCGATGGCAAACCTGCCCAACCGAGTAATTCCTCCGGTGTCTAATGATGGTACAGAAGCACGCACTCCCGACAGGGAGCTGTGGAGAGATCTCTGGAGAAGAGGGTACTCTGTAGATACAAAGGAAAACTTTGGGTCCGGAGAACAAGTGGGCTCCGCAAAATGATATACGGCACACAGTAGATGTCTGAACTCATTATATGGCATTAATAGCAGGACAAGTTGACGTAACTCGTGAACATGCATTTGGCTGTCTAGAGTGAGACAGATAGTAGTATAGATATATGGAAAAAAAGAAAACAAAGGAAAAATGTCCGCTAGGAGCGGCTAGTCCGGTCACTACCCCAGCGGCTGCCCTTTTGGTTGGACACCACCGAGATCTCAACCTGCTTCTTAATCCCGCGCCCGGACTCCACCATCGACCCCGAATGGTAGCTATCCTTAAGGATCTGCTCGATACTGTCGCAGTCATCGCGGTTGTCCGTACTGGGCTGTTCTTGCGCATGAGACTGGAAGGTGCCATTCTTCGCCGTTCCTTTCTGACCTGAGAGCGGACCACTGAGTTCGTAGGAGCGAGAACGCGCCGCACTTGAAAGCTTTCTCACAGACGAGATAAGTAGAGGTCGGATGCATGGCACGGAGGATGTGATGATGATGATCAGGTTCTCCGAAAACCCCCAGCGAATCAGCTCGACCGCACCGCCGGCACCGAGGTTGGTGATGCTGGGGACTTCCTTGAGTTTGGTGGTTTTGATGATCGAGGCGACCATAGCACTAATTCCATGTAAGCTGACAGGCCAATAAGTGGAGCTGTTGATATACTGACACTATTCCGAGACTAAGCAGGATAATCAAACTGATTTTGATCCGCAGCTTCAAGTTTAGGTTCCAGAAAATAATCGTGGGGAACACCGCGAGGAAGAGATCAGTAGCAGAGTTGACGGCTAGATACACCTGACGTTAGCCATACATCCCAGTTGAGACGGCCAGTGGATGGCAAGGACCTACTTGACGAAAAGTAAGAGAAGTTGACCACCGCGACACTACTACCACATGTTGTCTTCACGGTCGGATCCCAAAGAACCCGAGCGTTGCGGCAGATGGAAAGTGGCAGCACCGCAGAAACGATGTTGGCGCTGAGCTGCAGCAACATGACAATCCATAATGCGACACAATACTTTTTCTTTCCACCGAGGATAGCCAACAGGTAGAGGACAAATGATGAGCGGGCGATGCCGGTGCTGAGGGTGACAAGGAGTACCTCGAAGGAGATGTATTTCAGCACCTTCGAGGTGTAATGGAACGGGAGTTTGGTGAGATTCGTGCCGAAGCCATTTTGGACAGAAAGCGTCAGGATGACCGTGGATGCGAGTGTCAGTGCCTGAAACACAGATGGTCAGACATGCGACAAAAGGGCCCATGGTTAGTGCGGGGAGAGGGAAGGACGATTAGTTACCCAGGCTATGATCATCAACACATCGTCAATGCGAAAGTTGCGAATCTTGATCTTCGCAATGATTCGAAGAATGAGAATAAAGGTTGCTACTGCAACTGCAGCCCACATGCCCCTTTCCAGGGCCAGTCCGGAAGGGTTAGTTATATTGGAACCCATCACGAAGGGCAAAGGTCCGCGACGATAGAGGTCATTCTTTGGCAGAACAGATGCGACCACTCAAGTATATTTATTTTATCGTGAAACTAACTTGGCTTCCCACAAGATTTCGGCACCAGGGGAATTATACTTTCTGAGTCGCCTTAGTCCTGATGACTGCCGACTGGACAGGTTCGTGCATGGCTGGGATATTGGATCCATGGTGCAGATAACATAATATTAGGGAGATTTGGTCCTTCCATCCATCCAATTCCTGGGTGCTCCGGCTACCCGACGGACAAATCTCGCGAAAGACAGTGGAGACTATTGTCCCAGTTGGCCAGGGCAATTGGACAAAGCTTTCCCCAATAGGCAGACGTCGCCGGGGAAAAGAGTCCCAGACTCTGAATAATCCAACCCTACTACTGGAATCCTGGTGGCGCTTAGCGTGCAGCAGTGGATGCATTCGCCACGAGGTGAGCAGGGGTCGGCTTCATCCTTGTTCATTTCTAGAATGCAACCAGGATTCTCACTTGCCGGTACTCCAATTTATTGGGATTTCTGCAGCCGGCACTGAAGATAATCAAATGACCGTTATGGCCTTCCCACTTTCTGCAGATCTACCCATGCCCTACGGGGGAGGATAGAGAGATGATCCCTTGCTCTAAGCTCACCATGGACAGCGACCGGTACGGGGACCCTCACGTCTGTCTGCTTGAAATAACGGTGGGTCGTTGTCAAACTTTGAGGGAGAAATTTTCTCAGCTTGTTCAAGCCACATTCCAGAGTTGAGAGATGCCGCAGCCAGCACTTTCAGGAACAAGCCTTTGGCGTTCTTGGTCTTGGTC